GTTTGTGTTATCGTTGAAAATACTACAAGCCTTCCACATAGTAAAATATATCCTTGTGTAGAATGATTTGGTTATTTTCTTGTCTTTTAAACCTGTTGTGTCTTTGAGAATGAACAAGCATTCCTTGCATAATCCGATGGCTTTTAGAAATCGATTGGTGTTGAGAAGGAAATCAGCGATAATGAGGCCGATTGAGATGACTTGTATAACTTCGTCTACGTTGTTCATGTCAATTACTTCTGTCAGAATAGAACAGAGAATAAAAGTGTACACAAACTTGGAAACAAGTCAATTTATCCATTTGTCGACTGTTGTGGCTATGATTATAATAGGAACATGTTTGCTTTACTAAAACACTCATACACTGAAAAAATGTCTGCTTCTGTTATCTATCGAGTTAATTTATGACAGAATTCATCGCTACATATTTTTGATAAAGCTCTTTTTTTGAACGGACAATGTTAAGGTCTAGAAATTCATGAACTCGAAATCCAAATTATTTTCGGTTTGACAGTTGATTACAACACAAGCTGGTTGTTTCGTCTGCAGTGTTCTTAATATACAATAATTAATTTAATCAATTGAAGAGGTTCTCAACAATATGTCTATCCAGACATGCGCATAATTAAGCACTAAATAATCTGTTATACATTTTCTCTGCCCTCGTCAGAAAGACAAAGTCTCAGAGGGAAGTAAAATAGTACTTTCATATTTTGCTGTTAGAAACTGTTGGCATGGAAACACGATTCGCGACTTCCAGAAATATTTTCTTACCATTAATATATAAGGTCATTGTTGTTTGAACAACAACCAATAACACAGTAAACACTCACCACTTCCTGTTCTCTCGGTTTCAAGGATACAAAAGCAACGACAGTGTCTGTTTACATTGGACTTTGTTTGTCTATTAGACAACATAAAAACCATCATAAGTTCATTCAAGACACGTATTTCTTTAATAATTCTAGTTTTGTCTCTAACTCCATGCAGATATAGAAACACAATGCCAAAATTTAATCATAACGGAAAGACAGTGGTACAAAATTGAAATATGCAGATAAAGGTAAGTCCCTTAGAAATTGAAAGCCACAGACCAAGTAAGACAAACATGCCTCAAAATTCACAGTAAACAGGAACAAGCAAAATTGGAATTTTCCGCCGATCCACGAAGGTAAGCTCACAAAACGGAAAGTCACGGATACACAGAAACACGCAAAACTGGAAGTCTTGATCCCGGGTCTTAATAACAGACAAAGATAAGCGTTAAACCTCCTGTTTACAGACAGAATTGACACGGAAATCGGCAAATTCAGGGCGCATGAAACTGAAAGTCACCAAGGATTGCTTTCTAAAGCATAACTTGTGTATAAAGTACATTACAATTATTGCTTCATACTTACAGTATTGAAACTTAATATTTATGGTCATAAAAGTAATGCTTAAACTTACTATTCTATCCGTTACTTGAGAAGTGAGCTTCGGTGAGAAATCCAACGTTAACTTCACCCTTGTGAGCAACAAGGCTCTTCCCCTAAAAAGGACGACGATACATTAGTACTCCATTTTAATAAGCACTGAGAGGCATTTTTAACGCACAATAAACATGTAAAACGAGAGCATCAAATAGACGATATTTTATATCTAGGTTAATTAGTTAAGTTGGGCGTGTTTAAAACACGAAATGGCGAAATGACGAAATGGCGAAATGGCGAAATGACGAAATGACGAAATGGCGAAATGGTGAAATGGCGAAATGGTACAAAAGATAAGAACCAAACTTATAAGATGTTACCTTTCCACTACTGAAATCTTCATCTGTTGCGGAATTTATACTGTAGATTAATCCCGACAAATAAAAGAAACATCTACAACCACAAATTCGCGGTCACTGATCTTTGGGTAATTTGGATTCCAGTCTCCCTCTGTTAACAGGGCACGCTTTGAGACGCCTAGGGTATTCTTGATATTCGCGATGAAGTTTATACACAATATTTGGCAAACATGTGCTTTGCACAGAAACGGAGTGACGTTGGATGTTTATATCAAATAGATACAAGGTAGGATTTGTAAACAAAACAATAGTAAGTACCAATGCAGGTAAAAAATTCTTCCTCGGAAGAAAGTGTCCACACCCCCACCGCTCTCCTCTTGAACTCAAAAATTAAATGCTCCGTTCCCAAACAGAATAAATTGGGTAACAATTGCAACTTTTACTGGAGCGGTTACGTCTTTTGACTTTGGCTCTTATAGTTAGTACCATTTCGCCATTTCGTCATTTCGTCATTTGGCCATTTCGTGTTTTAAACAAGACCGGTTACGTTTACTGTTCTTACCGTTACTTGATGAGTCAAAATCAGAATGAAATCCAATTTAGGCTGGATCAGCAAAAGGGATCTTCCTTTAAAAAGGACAATAAATTGTTAATGGCGTGAAAAAATCTTCCCAATTCAAAGTGACAATAAAAAGAACAGAAAATAAATTATTAGAAACAATATATGAATTTTCTTCACTTTCTTCA